AAGGAAACAGACACTAACAAGGCATCTGGGTAGTAAAAGTAATGAACTTTATCGCCACCTGCTGTTGTAACTTGTACAGTCAAATATCCACCAGCACTGATAGACTGGCTGAATGTCGTCTTTGATATGAATAAACTGCCTGATGATGATTTTAGCTTTCAATGATTTTTAAAGAGAGATTCACCTTTATCCGACTCTTAAGTCTGAGCATAATGTTGTCAAATATTCCATTAATACTTTCGCAATTAACATTAGCCTATGTTGTTTTTCTCATTTCCGGTTTTCTCATTTCTTGCACCTGTCACTTTTTGTTTTTCTTTGGCCTTGAAGTTAAAGGTTGTTTATGTATTTTCCTTGGATTTAGAGTGTAAGCTTTTTCCTCTTGTTGCTGGATTGCTTTTCAGTTCACACACTTGACCTTGAAAGCTGTTTATGCTAGTGTTTGGCACATGCCCCCTGCGTTTGTATTCCAGTGTCGCTTCTAGAACTTGAGAATCTTGTGGAACGAGTCACACAATCCTATTTTAAAATAGCAATCTGTTCTGGATTTTTGAAAATGTTGTTAAGGACCTCAGAAAGAAAACAGGAAGAATACTCTTTTTTTTTTACACCACGACAGGACTATCAAGCAAAACGGTGATTAAAATGACGACTCAAAATTAACTTACAAAAAGAAATGATGATAAGGAACATCATTAGGCTAAATATAGCCTATAACTATGATCTAAATAGGCTACACTATCCGTAGAAACATCAGTCCTAAAATCTAGACTGCTAGGTAGTGAAAATGCTTGTTTTGAGCATCTTTCAAATATAGCCTAATAGGCTACTTGTTTTTCATTATAAATGATATTGTCACCATTAAAATTTGAGGGAACATTTGAACTGGTGAAAACTAACATAGCCTACTGTTGTCTTGGTATCGTCTCTCCCTCTTTTGCAAAGACAGCAGCACTCAAGCTGACATGAACTCCACAAGTTTATGCATACTTGAATTGAATTTTTATGTTACAAAGAGCATGGAAGCAAGGAAATCTGACATCTGAAGAAAATCACATGGTAATTTTTACTAAGGACAAATATTAAAAATGAAAAACTTTCCCATGAATAAATTACTATTTAAATCCCATATTTCCAATGTAGTGTCAGCCACTTAACGTATATCCGCTAGGGGCAGAAGCACAAATCCTGTGCTGCCTTACGCACTCGCCCTCTTCTTCTCGGTTTATCAGCGTCCTTCACTTCCTCTACGAAATCATGGCGGTCCACGGCCCGGTCGTGAAAATCCACCCGGTGGTTTTGGCATCGATTGCGGACTCATACGAGCGTAGGAATGAGGGAGCAAGTCGTGTGATCGGAACATTATTAGGTGGGTCGTGTAAATTCTCTGAGTAAAATCCCAAACAGTTGCTTTTAATAAAGACAACAGAAGCGTTGTTTTGTCTTGTGAAGCATGTGTTGTAGTCGAGCAGGATGGCTGGAGTCAGTGGAGTGGAAGAGAAAGATAGAGCGCGCATCCGATAAAGTTACAAGAACAACATCACTTAACTGGTTTAATTTGTGTGTCATACAGGAACAACAGACAAGCATTCAGTTGATGTCACCAACTGCTTCTCTGTTCCTCACAATGAGTCTGAAGATGAGGTGAGATACACAACATCATCCTACTCACCACTAAGAGAAATAGTGACGTATCCGTGGTATACTATGGTACTTTGAAATGCCATTTCCCCGAGAGGTTACTTGGATAGATACCATGGTATTTTCTATAAATGTTTTCTATCACCATAAATTTGGACATGTACCATGATTTTATTGGATGTGCTTTAGAGAACCCCCTATCATTGTACATGAAATCCAAAAACATCATTCTTCAAACACAAAGCTAACAACACCTAAAAGTGACATCATCCTTATTTACGATGTCTGTGTCATAGGTGGCTGTTGACATGGAGTTCGCCAAGAACATGTATGAGCTCCATAAGAAGGTTTCGCCGAGTGAAGTCATTGTTGGATGGTATGTGGCCGCTCATGTTAATGAATTTCTAAGGTTTTCTAAATATCTAAGGTTTTCTAAGGATTGATTTTATATTTGTTTTAAAAAGCAAACTGGTGCTGCGTCCCAATTCACATACTATGCGTAACAAACTAGATAACTATAGTATATACTATAGTTATCTGGACGCAGCACCAGTTTGCTTTTTAAAACAAATATAATATCAATCAAAATTAATAAAACTATCTATACTAGTTTATATATATATATATATATATATATATATATATAAAAACTAGTATAGATAGTTTTATATCTATACTATCTGATGAGGATTCGATTTGAACTACAAAAAGTGTCTAAAGAACTACAAACATGGCAGATGTGCGAGATCAACGGTTGAGTATAGAGAAGTTTAACTCCTGTTTAATTATCTAACCTGATAAAAAGATTTTTATTCAATGTTATTGCATCATTATGTACACGCATGAGGAGAGTTCTCTGCATGAAAGACCCATAACTGGTGCTACTACATTTCTCAATGTGCTACTACATCCGATACGGTAGTAAATTAAATTGAATGTGGAGGATTTTAACTGAGACAAGATGATTGACAGGGCAGTTTAAGCAGTGACAGGGTGCACGTAACAAAGCAACGGAGCAAAGTAGTATGTACTAAAGCTTTATGGCATGCAGAAATAAGTGTTTTTTTGTTTTGATTTTTCAGGTATGCCACAGGATTTGACATCACAGAGCATTCTGTTCTGATCCATGAGTATTACAGCCGAGAGGCTCCAAACCCCATTCACCTCACCGTGGACACGGCACTGCAGAGCAACAAAATGAACATCCGTGCCTACGTCAGGTATTATCATCTGGACTAAGGTTGATTATTTTTTGCTGCTGACCTGATGTCCTCTGCTGCATTAAGATTTTATTTGTTGTTTGTGCTGTTAGTTCACAGATGGGCGTCCCAGCCAAGACGGTTGGTGTCATGTTCACCCCACTGTCAGTCAAGTACATTTACTATGACACAGAGCGCATTGGAGGTCAGGTTTTTTCTCCACTTATAAACATTTTGCATTTGCATGTTTTAAGAATTGCTTTTTTTCTTTTGCGCACATTCTTCTAATGGATTAAACACATCTCTCTATAGTTGAACTTCTACAGAGGACTCGTGCATCTCCCAGTCGCACCAACGGACTGACCACAGACCTGGCCCAGGTAGCCAGTGCGGCAGGACGCGTACAAGAAATGCTTTCCACAGTGCTCGCATACATAGAAGATGTGCTGGTGAGTGTCTCTTTGGGACAATGCATTTTCTATAATGTGGCCTCAGTTTTTTTTTCTAAATGTATATGAAATGAATACACAGTTTTGGTTTTCCTAAAAAGAGCATGCATGAATGAGAAAATAAAGTGCGAGACGTGTTTAATGTTAAACAGAATTATTAAGCACAATAACCCACGGAAAAGATCTCAATGCGTCAAATACTCGCACTGACTGATACAACTGAAGCGCGCACACAGACAGCATGCAATCCTGAATTCTGTTCTGTTCTCTTTAGTGGTGTATTTCACCTGAACGGTCAGATAAAAACAGAATTTTCAATATCTGTCTTGATGAGTATTCACGTAAACATGGTCGGTTATTTCTTAAGTGAATGTAAATAGTTGGGGGGAAATCTGGTGCGTAACATTATATTAGATCCATGCATTAGGTCTCAATATAGTAAGCTATATATATACTATTTTTTTTTTACCAGTATTGTTTAATGACTGCAACATTATTTTTTTTCTAGTCTGGTAAAGTAGTGGCAGATAACAGTGTTGGTCGTTTCCTCATGGATCTTGTGAACAAAGTGCCCAAGATCACAGCAGAAGACTTTGAGAGCATGCTGAACTCCAACATTAATGTGAGTGACATTCAGTACAATATGATATTATATATGTTTGAAATGCTTTAATATCAGGGTTCCCACAGTCATAAAAATTCTAGAAATATTTCATCTGCTAGTTCACAAAGTCATAAAATGGTCTTTAAAGGCTAATTCACACGGCACAGACAGACTCCGACCAATCCAGACAGTGACTAGATTACAGTATGTCAGTTCTCAGACATCCCGTGACCCGACAAATGCAGAATCAACATGTTCATTAGTGAAAACAAGCGCCGACCAGCGGCAACAGACAGCGACGAGTGCTACACTGATCCGACAAAGAGACGCCGTTGGTCGGTATTTGGGAGTGCAGTGTGAATTGGCCTTAATAATGGTCTTCCTAAATTAAAATTATTTTAAAAAATCTATCAAAAATAACTGGTAAATTCAAAAAAAGTAGGAACTGTCTTTCAGATTAAATTAAAGTTGTGTGCCTGTGCTTCTGTTTCTTTGCAGGATCTGTTGATGGTGACCTACCTGGCAAATCTCACTCAAGCTCAGATCGCGCTTAATGAGAAACTAGTTGTTCTGTGATCTGAAATTGAAATGAATAAAAATGTTTGTCATTCCAACAATCTGTGTGATGAGTTGTTTAAAACAGTGCTTGGATATCTAAGAGCTTGTGAGATACATAAATAAGAATAAATACAAAAGTAAATGTAAAGCTATTAATGTAATTGTATAATTTTTGTATAACCCTTTTGTGCTTTTCCCTTTTAATGTATACTCGGGATGTTGAGGTCTCCAGAGACCCTAGGCAATAAAATATGATTTTGTAACATAATGTTTTTTTTTAAAACAAATGTCACCCACTTTATTAATGTTTTTACCCTAAAATATATTTTTTAAGTAGGTTTACATAGTAAAAAAACATTTCTCATTTTCATTCATGGAGATAACATGGACAATGTGCTGTGGTTTAGTGGAAGATTGCTGCCATCACCTGGAGAGCAAACGCTTTTAAAGGATAAGCAGAAACCTGACAGAAATACACCATGAAATACACACGTTCACAAGTGGTCAACAACCACTTGACGGACAACGCGGGCTACGTAACGCGCGTCCTTGTCTGACGTCATCAGGAAGACCGCAGATGGAAAGATGGCTGCGTTTCGCTGTCGGCGAGACCCGTGCGGCTTTATTTGTCTCATTTTAACTTATTTCAGCGTCTTTTACGCCGACTATGTTGTGATTCAGTATGTCCTGATCCCGGCGTACTCTGAAAGGTGAGTACGTTACCGTATGAACAAAGCTTTAAAGACCCAGCGTTTGCTTCACGTAACGGCACCCGCCGCTCATGAGATCTTCGCTTTTTAATTGTAGCTTTTTAGAATCATAGCAACAGCCGTTCAAAAGAACAGGTCGTGCTGATTGTTATCAGCGTTCTGGTGTGTTTTCCCACCCGCGAAAAGTGTTTACATTGCGTTTAAACTACTAGCAACTAGTATGTGGTTGTCAGACTGCTGTAGTGTGCATCATGTTTACTACACTTTCAGTCTCTAGTGTTACACTATAGTCTAAGGTTTCAGCAGGTTATCTCACCTGAAATTAACAAGCCAAATAAGACTCTAATGTAAATGTGTTATAATATAACTTACCACTCTCCAATGTCTTTTTTTGACGTGTACCTTGGTATTTAAATAGCTGCTGGTTTGTACCGTGAATAAATTATGGCGCCCACCTGTCCCCATTTTGCTATATACTGGATGAAAACGTCAAAGATGACAGATAAAAAAAGAAAAAACTTCCGAATGCTTTGAATACAGTAAAACGCATTTAAAGGGATAGTTCACCCAAAAATGAAACTTCTGTCATCATTTACTCACCCCCCTCATGTCGCTCCAAACCTGTATGAATTTCTTTCCTCAGCTGAACGCAAAAGAAGATATTTTGAAGAATGTTGTTATCCAAACAGTTGATGGACCCCATTGTATATTTTTTGTTACAATAAATACTATGGACTTCCATAGTATTTTTTTTGTTCCATACTATTGGAAGTCAATGGGGCCCATCAACTGTCTGGTTACCCATATTCTTCAACATAATTATCTTCTTTTGTGTTCAGCAGAAGAAACACATTCATACAGGTTTAGAACAACTTGAGGGTGAGTAAATGATGACAGAATTTTTATTTTTGGGTTACCTATCCTTTTTATGTTTGTGTTGTCTAGCAAAGGAGCATAACCTAGTCCCTAGACTTGCTACTTGAAGACATTTTTGTATAAAATGTGATTTTACCTACTAGTCTTTAATATTTAGCCTAGTTCGTTATATTTAGTAGACTCAAATTACATTGTATCTATCAAACATGGAGAAATTGAGTGGCAATAGTTCCAATTAAAGCTTACTAGTGATTTAAAGCATGTTGTCATTCAGTGTTACTGCAAATATGCTTTCCAACTAATGTAAATCAATATTTACATAGTGTAATAGTAGTACATTCAGCTCCAAAAACAAACAAATATATCCTTATTGCAGTTTTTTTTTCTTTTTTTTTGCGCTTATCTGTCACAACAATTATGTCTACTCCATCACACAATGTAAAGAAATTGTTTGTTTATTGATAATTTTTCTTAATTTTAAGTAGGTCATATTGAATGAATGAATGAGGCATTTATATAGCGCTTTCGTACTGCTGTACACCCAAAGCGCTTTATATTAGGAGCTAGCAAAATTACTGCATTTATACATATGTCATATGCAAAATATTTTGTGGCTATGGTTTTAATGCTTATTATGGGTATTTTAGCGTGTAAAGTGTATATTTTCTTTGTGTTTAGTGTATGGTGCACTCTCCATGGATCTGTGTTCAATATTATTCTGTTACTACTGCTGGCGTGCCATTCAAAAGCAGTGTTCTCCGACCCTGGTGAGTTTCCCTTGACATTGCTTTGTCTCATTTAATAGAGCCGATACGTTTTCTCTCGGTTTCATTAATACACTATTGACTGAAATTGTGTTTTAACCCTATAAAGTCTCCTGTATCATATTTGATACATGAATTTCTAAGCCTCCTAAATGATCAACATAATCTCAACTTTACAGTAAATCCTTCTGTACTGAATCTTCTACATGCCCTCTGCCCTGATCGATAATTCATACTTTTTTGAGCAAGTAAAATTGGACAAAATGTTCATCCTCAGATTGTGTTACACATGTCTTTTGCTATGAAATCCTTAATGATTTTTATAAAGTAAACATAAGAATATCTTTTATATTGTTTGCAATATTTCAAGATGAACATTTACTGGACTGAAGCAACTTAGGTTTACTTGATTATCCATACATCATTCTGTAGAAACATCATGTAAAATGCTAGAATCAAATATGAATCCCACAGGCTTTTGATGAACATTTATTTGTCTCTTAATCATCATTGAATTGCATTGGATTATATTTTGTGCCCTCAACAATTACAACTACAGAACTTTGATAATAAAATTAAGCATTTAAAAACCATCTAACTAAGACTTATTATTGGGAGATATAGAGTGACAGCGATATTTACTTGCATTTTATGTATTTAGTCTGCTAAACTGTAAAGAAGTCTAATTGATTTACATTGCAAGCTATATAAATAACATCTGCACCAAATGTAAAAATTTTGATCAGTTTGGGCCTCTAAATATATTTTTTTCTTGAATGTGAGCCCATTTTCTATCTATATCATTCGGCATGAAAACATACTATACTACTTAAAAACAAAACTTAATTTTTTTTTTTATATATTGTGTTTAAATGTTTGAATAAAAAATGTATTCAATTAAAAAAATAGTTTTTTTTCTGACTACTATTTCAAATTTTAGGCATTACAGGGTTAATCAGTGTAAACTTTTATAATTTACCTTTACAGGAATGGTTCCTCTACCTGAGACAGCCATTGACTTCTCTGACTTGAGGTCCCAGTCCAACCGTCTAAATGACAGAGTGAGTGTCACTGATCTGTCTACTACTGTAGCTATATTTAAGTTAGGGATGCAGTGATATGAACACCGATACGATAACTTATAGCTGATATGATAACCGATAACTCTTTATATTTGAAAGCCGATAACCGATATATTGTCCGAGTGTGTATTCTGTTTCCTTGCTTGCATCACAGTGCATTTTCTCTGTGACTTTAATCGTTGTGTTGGTTCTAATCAGGGCTGTGAGGGCTGGACAGTGTGCAGTCGCTGTGAGACGTATCGGCCTCCTCGAGCCCATCACTGCAGAGTTTGTCAGCGCTGCATCAGAAGAATGGACCATCACTGCCCGTGGTTAGTCTCTCCTCATTCTCCATTGGCCAGTGTTATCAACTTAACTGTATATGTATCTGCCGTTTCTGGCTGCCTATAAAATATCTTAAGTATATGCAACATATTTGTGCTATACAAAATGCCATGTGTAATAGATCCCACTTTATATTAAGTGTCTTTAAAGAGGACCTATTATGCCCTTTTATAAAGTATTGATCTTGAGTCTAAGTTTTCATGCTTGAATGCTCAAAAAACACCACATTTTTTATATATTACGTTATTGCAGCACCTCTCTTCCCAGTCTCTCAGTAATGATCTGTTTAGTTCCAGTCTCTATGAAGCCCCTCCTTCTAAAAAGCACAATGTGCTCTGATTGGGCAGCAGGACCAGTGTGTTATGATTGGTCAATCGCTCGAGTGTGTTTTGGACACGTCACGCCATAACCACGAGTTTAAAAAAACTACTAACGCAGCTCAACCAGGCCTCGTCCTTTTTTTTTGGTGGGAATTATTTTCTTGGGCGGCAATTATTTACATTAGGAATATTGTTACGTGTACATTCCTGGAAGGAAATGCAAAACTACAATCTAAGCAGAGTTCAGAAACAATGCGGACTGATATGGAGAAAACTCCCCTTCGAGTGACTGTGTGCTTTGTAACTTTGCAGAAATTGCAGACCTTTCTTATTCTCAAACAGCCACATTACACACTAAAGAAAGTTGAAAATACAACAAAGCATACTAGGTCCTCTTTAACAACTGTATAGTTGCATTTTAAAGGAACACTCCGACTTTTTGGGACTAAGGTGAATAGGCTCACCTTATCCCCCAGAGTTAGATGAGTCCATACATACCTTTTTCATCTCCGTGCGTGCTATACACTCTGTGACTATACAAATCACAACATGTAAATAGGAAAATGTTTGCGTTATTTTGTCACTTGTTTGGATTAGTATGCTAGCTGCAACCATTTACATCCAGTCTTTGTGCTAAGCTAGGCTAGCGGCGGGTGCGTCAAACAGACTTATAGCACGCACGGAGATGAAAAAGGTATGTATGGACTCATCTAACTCTGGGGGATAAGGTGAATAGGCTAAAGTCCCAAAAACTCGGAGTGTTCCTTTAATGATTCATCTGATACAATGTACTTTTGTGTACATGCATGTTTTCACACGGTACTGTTAAATAAAAAAATACCTACATGTAATTATAGCTGTAATTAATTTCTGTACTTACATCTATACGGTAATTACACTGTTGACCCTTCCCTTACATCTTAACCCACTCTTAAACCTATCCATACCACCAATCAACGTGGTCAAAATAAGAACATTGTACCTAAGATTTTTTTTAAAGTACAATAGTAGTTAATAGTATTTATGTACTTTATAACATCTATTATAAAGTGTGACCGTTACAGTTTTTGTCATGTCTCTGATTAATGCATTTGCATATGTGCTTGGTCTTTTATAGGATCAATAACTGTGTTGGAGAGCTCAATCAGAAGTACTTCATTCAGTTCCTCTTCTACACAGGTGAGTTTTAAGAACATGGGGTGTTTTTATAACAATGGTGTTCAAACCTGCTCCTGGAGGGCCACTATCCTGTAGAGATCAGCTCCAACCCCTCTTAACTCTTTCCCTACCATTGACGGAATTTTCCCATTTATGAGAAAACGCTTCCCCAGCATTGAAGGAATTTTCCGGCTTTCCGTGTTTTCACTGTTATATGGTAGGGGGCGCAATCTACTCTGTCTATGTTTTGAATCTGATCTTGACGTAGTTTTTGATAAAAATTCGTTTTTCTCAGCGTTTTAGTTAAAACTTTGTTTCTTGAAACCTGCCCACATTCAAATGTTGATAAAAAAGAATGCATGAAGCTAGATTTTTTTTTTAAAGCAGAGGTTATGTTGATATATTTAGTTTAGATATTCATACTACAAAATATTCTGGGTTCCTTGAAACTTTTGTAAAAATGATTTTAAAAAATGCTGGCGCTGGCTTTTTTTTTTTTTTCAAAAAAGATCTAACTAGACCAGAGCCCCTTTCACACAGAGCGTTGATCCCAAAGAATTGCTGGAGTGCCTTCTGTGTGAACCCAAACACGTCCCGGGATTGATCCCAGGATCATTCACGGGATGGGGACCTAGTAAAATTGCCGGCATCAGTCCCGGAAAAGTCAGGGCCAATGCCGTAAGGGGTGTGTCGTTGCAATGACGTAGTTATCGTGCGACTCTTTGACCAGGGGTTTTAATGCAGATCAACGTTCACATTGCACATTAACAAAGAAGAAAGTTTGTGTTGGTCAAGGAACAAAGAAAAAAGTTTGTGTTTATCAAGGAGTAAAGGAAGGCCAAAAAAGTCAGCAAACATGTCACATCCTGATTGTCACGTGTTTTTATGGGATTTTATTTGGACATCCCTGGTCAAGTAAGACCTTGTTTAGCTGGTTAAGCTGTGTTCAATTAGGGTTGAAGCTAAACTGTGCAGGACAGTAGCCCTCAAGGAGCCCTGTTGGATGCAGATTTTATTTTCAATTTTTTCATCTGACTTTCCATTTCTCTCCTCTAATGCCACATCTCTGTAGGCATGGCCAGCTTGTATTCCATGGCGCTGGTGGTGTCAGCATGGGTGTGGAGAATAAGGAGTGAAAGAGAGGGAGATGAAGATAAAGAAGGAGAAGAATCTCCCAGCAAACATCTTATTGTGTAAGTTACAATGTACTACTGATGTACACTATAATGATTATCAATATTGATTAAGATATTAAGTACTTTTGTTAGCTTTTTGCTTTTCTCACTCTGTTCTTGGTCATTTGTTCTGAAGGGCACATTATATCATTCTGCTGGTGGAGTCAATACTTTTTGGAGTGTTTGTCTTGGTGATATTTTATGACCAGGTATGCTTCAACATTATATAGCTTCAGTGGGACTATATATTTTGGACCATAGTTGACATTATAGACTAACATTTTGAAAAATGTGTTCACACACAGCCACAGTGTTGTACTTACATACTTTGCTACAGTGTTTGCATGGGGAGGCTGGAATATTATTCTTTATAGGGATAGTTCACCCCAAAATGAAAATCATTTACACAACCTCATGCCGTTCCAAACCTGTATGCATAATTTTCCTTTGCAGAACACAAAAGAAGATACTCTGATAATGTGTGAATGCTGGTAACCAAAATGTTTGGCATCCAGTGTAGACAGCATCGCTGTTTATAATGGGTTCTAAATGCTTTTGACGCGTTGTCGCATTGCTCACGTCTGGTGTAGAGACGGTGTAAAACTCTAACACTATTCTCTTTTGGCTTTCTAAACACATTTTTATTCAAATCTTATGCAATGGTTGAAATTGAAATGATTTTGCATGTGATGATCTGTCATCTGTCTCTCTTGTTTTTGTCCTAAGCTGGTGTCCATTATAACAGATGAGACGCCCATCGAGCAGATGAGGAACAGACTAATGAAAGACAAACTCAACAACACCCACCCGACACACATTACACACACAAGAAAGCCAAAAATCGCATTGCTGAGGGAGGTTTTTGGACGTGGTGAGTTAAACTATTTTCATCTAGGGGGTATTCCAGAAAGCAAGGTTAACTTACTGTCACATATACCCTGAACTCTCAGCTGATTAACCCCAATAATGCTTACTCATGATATGTCGGTTCCAAAACTCCTGTGAAGAGTTAGTTCAATCAACCTCCTATTGGTAACCCAGAGTTTACTTGCGTGCACAGTGAGTACATAAAGACATCGTCGTCAATGGATAACCATAAGAAGCGCACCATACTTGGCGAGTTATAGTTTCAGTGGATATCACCACCTATTGGGCTGTTGTGCAATCATTTTTAATCTTATCCTTTTTTTCTCTTTTCTCTTTCTACGTACCATACTTTGATGATGCAGAAATATGTTTTTTGACAACTGTGAACAAGTATATAATTTGTTTGGGTTATAAATAAATAAATAAAAACCGTACTTGTAAAGATAATGCGGCTGTATAAAGTTCTACAGCAGATTATAATCAGAGAGTAAGTTGCTATTGCTACTTGCCCTGAAAGTTACTTCCTTCTCTGGAGCCAAAAATGTAGGTTATGCATTTACTTATTAAATGCATAGTTCAATCCAGACGGTTGTCGTGCTGGTCCTGTAGTTGCAGCCGTCGCGTGTGCTAACGCGCCAAGTACACTGCTGCCGTTAACGCCGGACAGAAGGGGAGTCACACTACCTTATGGAAAGAAGCGTAAATGGATGGAGAAGCATAGTTTACTGTAAAGCTACGTCTTAGTTTTGCTTATCTTGGCGAAAGCCGAGTACAAATCAGCATGAAGTTTTAACATCTACTCTCGTGTAATGGAAATCATGAAGATCTGGATACATCCAGTGACTGCGGTGAATAGTGCTGCTGGCAACCAGGGAAAGACCTTGTGACAGCCTGGAGAGACAGCTGACAGGAGGAAAGAGACCCCAATGGGGCTGGTAAGGGTTAGCTACCCTTGTCGGCAGTATCCAGCTCCGTGTTTACAGGATGCTGGAGACACCCGCCCAAGGCTTCTGAGAAATTAAAGAGAAAAATACCCCTAGAGTCTGCGAGAGCGGGGGCGGAAGATGACTCAATGTTGGACAACATGGTTAACGACTTAGGAATGGAAACGGATATGAGTATGGAGAGTAAGACTAGTTCAAGATCTGCAGTAAGTAAAGTCATTGAACTCCAAGTTTGTGTCTGTGGCTGGAGCAAGGTGACAACGGTCAGGGGGTTTGAAGGTTCATCAAGGGTAAAATGAAATGCTTGAGGGAGAAGGGACAAGGGCCTCGCATTGATCAGTACTTCTTACGAAGTCAGTCAAGTCAGTCGAATGAAATCCAGCGACAGGAAGCAAACCACAGCTCGCAGGATATCAGCACCCTGTCATTGACGAAAGGAGGGCTTTCACAGTTAGTGATGAACATATTCATACTTGTGAACCCGGTCAGGCTAACCAGCATAAGAGAGAAAAGAACCTCAACGGGCATAGGCCTGGAGTTAGATGGCCAAGAGCTTGTGAGAAAACTGCATGGGACACGGTAAACACAGATCTATGCTTTGAATTGGAAAGATTAACTGGTACAGTTGAAAAGAAGCTGGATAAATTTGGGGACATCATTTACGCATATGGAAGTGAGAGGTTTGGTGTGGAAAAAAGGAAGGAAAAAGTACAAACTACTCCTGGAATGTCTAGACGGCAGCAGAAAATTCAAGGGTTAGTTAGAGAAAGGAGACAGCTGAGGAAGCAATGGAAAAGAGCAGAACAAAGTCAGAAGGAGTCAAGTCAAGTCACATTTATTTATATAGCGCTTTTCACAATACAGATTGCATCAAAGCAGCTTCACAGTGATAACATGAAAGTAGTACAACACAGTTCAATAATATTGTTGAATATTAAATATCCCCAACTAAGCAAGCCAAAAGCAAGGCGACAGTGGCAAGGAACCAAAACTCCATCAGATTGGATGGAGAAAAAAACCTTGGGAGAACCCAGGCTAGTCAGGGGCCAGTTCTCCTCTGGCTAACAATCATAGGGTTTTAAAGAAGCTTTACAGTAAGTGCATATCAGAGAGTACCTGGAAAAAATACATTTAGTTAATCATGTAATATTTAGGGGATAACATATCGCCGGCGTTGAGTCGTCTCTTCGCAGGCGTTGAGTCGTCTCTTCACAGGCGTTGGTCTTCTCATCACAGGCGTTGAGGCATCCGAAATCCCCGTGAGAGGCAGGATACCAAACTGGAGCCTACGAACGCCATTTTTCTCGGGACAAGCGTCCCGAGATAACAGCAGAAAGGCAGATGGGAAATAATTAGCATAGCTGATGTTCATAATGATTTCCATTACACGGGAGTAGGTGTTAGAAAACCATAATCTCACAACTCTCCGCAACCCAAACCCTCCGCAACCCAACCGCAATCATACGGATACGAACCAAAGGAGGGACTCAATCTCCTACAAAGGGCCATAAAAGATAAGCTGGCAACATTACGCAGAGCTGAGCGCCTACGGAAACGCTACAAAAAGAAGGAACGTGCGAGGGCTAATTTCTATAAAGACCCATTCAAATTCGTAAAGAAGTTATTCACCAGTGAGAAGAATGGCACTTTAAAAACATCTAGGATTGAGCTAGAGAGATATTTGGAGGACACGCATACAGATGCAAAAAGGCATGAGCCTATGTCAATTCCATCAGACATACCACCTATCAACCCACCAGAATACCAAATGGAGGTCTGTGCACCTAAGTGGAAAGAGGTAGAGCAGGCTGTGAGAAAGGCAAGGGCTTCATCGTCTCCAGGGCCTAATGGAGTTCCGTACAGAGTGTACAAGAGTGCTTCAGGAGTTCTGCGAATTCTGTGGAAATTGATAAAAGTGGCATGGGAAAAACAGGTTGTACCTAGAGCATGGCGCAGAGCAGGTGGAGTCTTTATACATAAAGAAAAAGATGCTACAAGCATCAGTCAGTTTCGTCCTATTTCACTATTAAACGTTGAGGGTAAGATTTTCTTCAGCATTATTGCCCAGAGATTGTCCACCTACCTGTTAAAGAATGGCTTCATTGACACCTCAGTTCAAAAAGCGGGTATTCCAGGGTTCTCAGGATGCTTAGAACACATCAATGTTATCTGGCAACGAATTCAGTCAGCTAAAAAGGAGAGGAAGGAGCTCCATGTGACATTCCTGGATTTGGCTAATGCATATGGTTCAGTGCCACATGAGCTTCTTTGGGCAGCATTTGATTTTTTCAGAGTACCAATGTCAATAACAAATTTAGTGAAAGCCTATTTTGGAGATTTGCAATTCAGTTTCTCAACTCCAAAATTCAGCACTGCATGGCAATGCCTAGAGGTTGGAATAATGGCAGGATGCACCATTTCTCCACTGGCTTTTACCATGGCGATGGAAGTAATCATGAGGGCATCAAGATGGGTAGTAGGAGGAGAGCGCTTGGCTTCTGGGATGCGACTACCACCAATCAGAGCATACATGGATGACATGACAACCATGACTACAACAGTAGCCTGCACTAATCGGTTATTGGGGAAGTTAACAGATAATATTGAATGGGCACGAATGAAATTTAAGCCCTCTAAATCAAGGAGCATCTCGATAGTTAAAGGAAAGGTAGTAGATAAAACATTCTTCATTAATGGTGAGGCAATACCAACAGTTTCTGAGAAGCCAGTGAAGAGTCTTGGGAGATGGTACGATGGGGATCTAAAGGACACAGTTCGGGTGGGAGAAGTTAGACGACAAGCAGTGGAAGGGTTGAAGAGCATAAACAGCTGTGCTCTACCTGGTAAACTAAAACTCTGGTGCTTTCAGTTTGGTCTACTGCCGAGGTTGCTGTGGCCACTGACCGTGTACGAGGTTTCTTTGACAACAGTGGATAAGCTGGAAGCGTTGGTAAGTTCATACATCAGGAAATGGTTGGGAGTTCCACGCTGCCTCAGCAGAGTAGGACTTTATAGTAAAGGAATATTGCAGCTGCCAGTCTCTGCTTTAACCGAGGAGTTCAAGTGTGCCAAGGTCAGACTGGAAATGACCTTAGTAGAGTCACGCGACAAATGTGTAAGGGAGGCAGCCCCTGTGTTAAAAACTGGTAGAAAGTGGTCAGCAAAGAAATCTGTAGTAGAGGCAAAGGCTGCCCTTCAAATTAGGGATATCGTGGGACAGGTACAGCATGGAAGAGGGGGTTTTGGGCTCAGTTTAGCTCCTCCTAAATGGCACAAGGCAGGCCCAGCTCAAAGGAGGAAGCTGGTAGTCAACGAGGTGTGACAGCAGGAGGAGAGGATGAGGTGTATAAAGGCCATTTCACAGGCCAAGCAGGGAGAGTGGATGAGATGGGAGAGTGTGGAACAACGTAAGATGGGCTGGCAAGACCTTTGGTCAATGGAAGAGAGTAGGATCAGTTTCCTTATTAGGTCAACATATGATGTTCTCCCATCACCGCAGAACCTAAACCTCTGGGTAGGAGAGGATCCCTCTTGTCCTTTGTGTTCATCACCTGCCACATTAAGGCACATTTTGACAGGATGTAAGGTGGCTCTTAGCCAAGGTCGGTTTACTTGGCGCCATGACCAAGTACTGCGATGTTTGGCTTTAGCATTAGAAGGCAAGCGTAACATGACCAATAAGTTGCCACCTGTTCTAGCAAAACATTACACGCAGAAGACAACATTCCTCCGCCCAGGCGAGCAACCACCAAGAAAAGGTGTTAACACCAATTCTCGCCCAGGACAACTGGAAGCTGCTAGGGACTGGAAGATGCTGGCTGATCTTGACCAACGGCTTATTTTTCCACCTCAGATTGCCACCACTAACCTACGACCAGATATTGTTTTGTGGTCTGGATCAGCACGCATTGTTCAACTGATAGAGTTAACAGTGCCATGGGAGGATGCGGTAGATGAGGCAAATGAGAGGAAGAAACTGCGGTATGCTCATCTGGCCACTGAAGCAGAACAGCGAGGATGGAGAGTCCAGGTTTATCCAGTGGAAGTGGGTTGTCGAGGTTTTGTGGCACACTCTACAACCCGGTTCCTCAGAGACGTCGGATTCAGTGGCCAAGAGTTGCGTCGCACAGTAAAGAACTTATCTGAAGCAGCAGAAAGGAGCAGCAACTGGCTGTGGTTGAGACGGAAAGATTCTAGCTGGCTGTGTACAGGCCGCCACGCTACGGTTTCGTATAGTTCTTGGAAACTTGTAGAGTCTGTTGGTTTGTTTGTATACGTTCCTGTGGATATTGCGTGAATGACGGGTGGTTGGGTAGATATTGTGTTTTGCGGTAGGTGGTATGCCATACGGAACCGTTGTCCACTGAAACTGCATATTAACGCACCAGTGGGGCTCGACAGCCTTAGTCAACGGGTTGGCGCGTATGGTTGGGTCGCGGAGAGATTGTGATATTGTGGTTAGGTCTCAGCAGCAGGAGGGATGTAGAGGTCAGTAAGCTGGGCTGAGTTGAGTGGGGGACGGAGGGGGGTGACTCTGGGACGCCAGAGTCACTGTCGAGCCCTCTTGAGGTGTCGTGGGCTAGTCGACGAAACACTGAGGACGGAAGGTGCCCACTTGAAGACCCTAGAGATGTCCCCTACTCGGTTCAATCCAGACGGTTGTCGTGCTGGTCCTGTAGTTGCAGCCGTCGCGTGTGCTAACGCGCCAAGTACACTGCTGCCGTTAACGCCGGACAGAAGGGGAGTCACACTACCTTATGGAAAGAAGCGTAAATGGATGGAGAAGCATAGTTTACTGTAAAGCTACGTCTTAGTTGTGCTTATCTTGGCGAAAGCCGAGTACAAATCAGCATGAAGTTTTAACATCTACTCTCGTGTAATGGAAATCTTTTTTTCTTAAAGTTTCCTAGGTGTGTGGCATAACCTGCTTTCTAAAACACCCCCCTGTTTTGATTCTTCAAGCTTGTGACTGTCAGAAATCCAAAGCATTGAGGAATATGTTATTCTAGCATTCAAAAGTTTTGGGTTGGAACCATTAAAAGAACGTTTTTATTTATTTTATTTTTTATGTGTTTGATATTTAAGTGTCTCTTATGCTCACCAAGGGTACATTTTATTTGATCAAAAATACAGTAAAATTGAGAAACATTATGAAATTTTTCTTATTTTAACATATTTTAAAGTGTAATTTATTCATGTGTGGGGAAAAGCTGAATTTTCAGCATCATTCCTCCAGTCTTCAGTCACATGATCCATTCTAATATGCTGATTTGATGATTATAAATTTGATCAATTTAATGACTCCTTGCTGAGTAGAAGTATGAATTTTTTTATACTTTTATTAAAATCAAACTTTTGAATGGTAGTGCATATAATGGTGACTGTTTTTCCATTTGTATTTCTCTCATATTGACAGGTTCTATACTATGTTGGCTGTTCCCGCTCCATTCCTCCCCCCCTTCTGTTGGCGGCATCAGTTATTCAGCACTTCCTGATTACAATGTGTAACACTAATCAGTTTTTCATTGGTTCCTTTGAACTTTCCATCAGTATTTCATCGTGTGTAGGACACTGTGAATATTATGTTACTGAGGTGCAAATTTCAGCTATGAAGGAAGAGTGCTTCTCTCTGTGTGAGTGTTTTTGTACACTGACTTTCGCTTACTGCTTCTCTATCTCACACACACACACACTCAGATACAAATACTGTTACAAAAGGGACTTCCTTTACAAACCTGGATCGTTTTCCTTTCTGTGTTTCAAATAACCCAGGATAATTAATGGATTTCATTTTAATTTAATCATACATTTTATTGTGTGTTTTGGAGTACATGGACTGTACTCCATTTTACATACGGATTGTATATAAAGATGTATTTTATAACTTTAATTTCTGACAAAAGTGTTGCATTTTCAGGGTACTGGACTACTTGTTGAAGTGCTTGTTTTTATTTGTTTAAAATCTTAAATGTTTTTGCTGTTTTATGGACAGCTTGAGGGATGTGTGTACATAACAGATGAACTTGTATATTGATAATGTTTACATTGATATTTATTGTAATTTAACTGTGGATGTTTGTGTCTTAATGCTGCTCTGATTTATGTGAAGTAAAAGACATCTTTTCAAATTCTGGCTTTTTATTTATTTTTTGCTTTAAAATAAGTTTAAGTGAAAATAAACCAAAAGTGTTACATGTAGATCATTGTGTTTTATTATTCAGGAAATCTACAATAATAATAGAGGCATTTAATCAAGTTAGAGATCTTCACAATTAGTCATAATGTCTTTTTTATGATTTGAATGGCAGGAATGTTTTATATGTGTGTGTTAAAGCTAGATGTTTTTGTTTTCTGTGTATATATTTATATACAGTCATGACACAACACATGATCACAGAATAATAAAGTATAAAGCTGTAATGAAAAGGATTTAGTTCATAAACTCATAATGTTTGACAGTCTCTATTATAGGTAGCTTTTAAAAAGCTGTGTGTAGGGAACGGTGAACATTAATATTTCACTTGAAGCACAGCACACCTAAATGAGTGAGAGCTAATTAAAACGGGATTATATTAATTTTTCAATGCTTGTGAGCTCGTCGCTAATTGGCCGAATCCGCGATCACGCGCTTGTGTTGTTATTTTTGTTGTCGACTTCCTGGTAGCAGAAATCATGTGATTATGTGACGCTTCCTGGAGAAGCTTTACTTTCACGTATCACTTTTGCTCTTCGTGAGAATATTTACCAGCAGCAAACATCCACAGCGTGCTTTTTTTGCGGACTTGTGCTCGTTTACGACATGGCTGACGGTGAGCGATCGCCTTTGCTGTCGGACAGTCGCGATGGAATGAACGGGCTGTCACCGGTAGATGAGACCTACCGACCGCTGACAAAACCAGAGAGTGAGTCAAAACCTGATCCGCATTGACAGACAGTGGCTGTGTCTAAAACCCTATTGAGCAGTCTACCTACACAGCATGTGTGGGCATCGTAAACTAAATTAAACTTATGATTCTATTCGATTCAGTTCGACTGGAGCGCTCAATCGCTCCTGTGATGATCCCCACGCTCACATGCTGTGGAGCAAAAGTATTTAGAATCCCCTTATTTATTAATTTTAATGTGACTTTTATATAGCGTAAAGTGTGTCACTGTACGCAGATCAACATATGTCGATTATGTGATTTAATTTGCAGTAATCTGTTACCTGCCGATCCTAAGCACAGCACAAGTAGATTAGTGCCAGATTACAGTACACCTGAAACGCATGACTAATGGAATCATGATTTTTGCACTCAGGCTTATCAGTATATCAGCCCAAGTACTATTGACTATCAGCCTGAACATTAAAAAACGTTTAAACTGACTAATTAATGTTAATGTAATCATGTAACCATCTTCTACACGCAATGTTGCTCGTCTTGGTAAAAGAAAAGAAGATAAAAAATAGTTAATATGGTTAGTATTAGCAATAATGAGGGGATTATGTTGAATAAACCTTTTATTTGTGTTAAATATTCTATCTATCTATCTATTAATATTTTGCCTATACATATGTATTCAGACATTTTTTAGGCAACTTACAGTAACATTTAAGTATATCCATAATTTATACAAACTTATTAATTTAAGTAAAAAATTAAGTTTGAATGTAATTTCCATAGTGTAAAGTCTATTATGATATGATACGAAGTCTGAAATTGATATTTTCTTTATTACAATAATTGTGTAAAAATGTGTAAAGAAAATGTTCGATAATATTGTTCTTATCTCTTTGCGTTCTGATATTAGTAAAAGAAGTACCCATCTGTTTCACTGCAAATATTTAAATAAATAATTTATTAATTTCTTTCTGTTGTCACAGGCGACATACAAAGATTAATTTACAAATTATTGCATAATATTATTAGTAATAAGTTCCATTTTATGCAAAAAAAGTACATATTTTTTTAACATTGCTTTGATAATACATGCAATAAGAGAGTTAATAATATTGCAAAGGAAAATCTCCAGTTCTGTATATTTCATTGTCATTTTTAGTGGCAGCATTGCCAATCCTTTTCTTTTTTTTCTCACTTTCTGCTTGCCTTACATCCTCTCTCATGCTCTCTTTCCATCCCAGATTTCCCAGCGTTCCCGTCAGCTCCTCCCTCGTCGATGCTGGGAGAGGCTCCTCCACCGTACTCCCCGCTGGGCTCTCCGGAGAGCGGCAGCGCTTCTGTCATCGGCTGCAGAGTGTGTCAGTCGCTTATTAGTGTGGAGGGCAAAATCCACCAGCATGTGGTCAAATGCGGAGTCTGCAATGAGGCTACAGTGAGTTAACAAGCGCATCCGTTTAGGATTCCATTCCTCGAACATACATGCTGTTTGATGTTTTAGCGAGGTGATGAAAACTGAACTAGATTTAAGTGAAAGACCATGACATCACTTCCTGATTTATCTAGCCCATAAAGAATGCTCCAGCAGGAAAGAAGTATGTGAGGTGTCCGTGTAACTGTCTTCTCATCTGCAAAGTTACCTCGCAGAGGATCGCCTGCCCTCGACCTTACTGGTGAGAGAATTTAAAAGGAGTCATTACCATAATTCATGACTCATGCCATGGTACATTGATGATATCAGATATACTGTACCCAGAGCCATAGAGAGAAAGAGTTGCGACACTCCCATAGACCGCCATAGGAACTTTGGAATGCGGAAGTAACGCGTGTCGTGGAGCGGCCAATAGTTCCAAACACTGATAGTTTCTCCATTGAACCCCATTCATTTTCAGTGCTTCAGAAGTACGTTCGCTGGTAAATTAATGAAATTACTGTATTTTTTTACTTTTACACACATTAGCCGACCTCTCGTGAATCTAGTCTGTAGTTATATTTTATGTAGCCAGTTTTAGTAAATGTTTATTGGAAGATAATAGGTTAATTGCAGCGATAGCTTACGTGACCAACACTTCACTAACGTTAGCTAACTGGTAACCTGATGTATATAATATATAATATTTTTAATAATATTTTATATGTATATATATATATATATATATATATAGCCTATATATAATATTATATACATACACACACACACACACACACACACACACACACACACACACACACACACACACAATTCATTTATTTAAATGGGTTAGGGCTATGTATGTGCTTATATGTATTTAGGAACATAGTTAATTCACTCATTAACTATCTCTCCGGTTTAATTTTATGAAGAATATTTTTCGGTTGAATATTCACCGAACATTGCTGTATATAGTCGTTGCTTTCTACGTTATGGGAGCAGTCTATTTCCCTCCTAAATCATTCATTTGTACATGCACAGCGTAATTATTTATATTTTATGTTGGTTGGAATTCTGAACGGACTGCAGACCTCTTTGCGTGATCACGAAGGTAGGCTAATGGCTGAATCGGAATTTATAAGCAAGATCACGGGAATCAATAGCCTAATACAGCCCAGTTGTGCTAAAATAAATATCATGAGACGTCCATCATCAGGTGAATGACATGGAAAAGTTAAGTTAGAGCCGCTAAAGCCAGTGCTATTACTACCCATGCGAACATGAACACTAAGCTTTTCCCTCCAAAAATATAGCCTAAAACTTATCTAAGTTGTCACCCTGCCTCTCCAAATGCAAAACTGACATTAACAAAACGCAATAACAGCTTAAAAAGTACTTGGGTGTGTGTTTTATTTTATATTTACCGTTTAATAATGCAATCGCTGCTGTCTGTCCATAGAAGAACATGACAGCCCGCGTACGTTTTGGAACTATTGGCGCTTACATGAACCACGTGACAGCCGTCGCGGCGACATCAAAGAGTGTCGCAACTCTTTCTCTCTATGGCTCTGACTGTACCATGAAGCTGAATTATACTACATTAATGTTCAAAATGTTTCAAAAATCTTATCAACTCCAAACTTTTGAATGGTAGTGTATATTCATACACCATGGTTGTCAATTTTAAATTTTTTGTCAAAGTCAAATAAAATATTAGTTTTAATTCTGAGTTATTTAAATGTTTTTGTGTGTATGTGTGTCTTTTTTGGGGGGATCAGTAAGCGAATTATCAATTTAGGTCCAGTTCATCTGGGTGCAGGAAGTCCGAATCCTCAGCCTAGCGGTGCCAGAGTTTCCTGTGGCCACTGTGCAAACACTTTTCTGGTAAGAACTTTTCTTATTCATATAAGTGAACATTTCAAAGCTCTATATTGATTCATTTTGTCTTAATACTGTATCTGTAACAATGTCTTTCTGTTGTTGATTTAGTGGACAGAATTTACAGATCGGACATTGGCTCGGTGTCCACACTGCAGAAAAGTGTATGTTAAATACTATCCATAGACCTTCTTCTATTTAGTACCACACACTTACATTGATTACAAGTAAATTCCATTCCTTTCATCAATATAGCTCATCGATCGGCCAGAGGTACCCTAGAAAGCGGAGTTTGAAATGCTTCATGTTGTGTTTGATCTTCATCATAACGACTGCGGGATTGATTGTAAGAATAAAAGCATTTTAGAGTTCATTATTTCAAAGAGTTGCCATTTCAGAATGCCTGGAAATATCTTTACTCTGTTCCCTTTCTTTCTCTGTAGGCTGGTACGTGGTGGAATGCACGGACATATAAGGGGATTTATGTATCCTGGGTGTTCTTCATTCTCCTGGTGCTGATCACTTTGGTCAGAGCCCTACATTGGGCCTGCATGAAAATCAGTGAACCACTCCACAACTACTCATAGAAGAGAGCAAGGAGGAGCAGGAGGTCGAGATGGAGTGTAGACGAGAATAAGTCCAAGTGAAAAAGAAAACTGAGCCAAAAGGGATGTTAATGGAGAGATGCTCTGTCTAAATGGGTGAAGAACTGTCAGTAAAAATCCATATTTCCCCCTAAAATCAATGCAAAATAAAGTTCAATAGGCCAAAAAAACAAAAACAAAGAATAATTATTCTTCTAGATAATTAATTCAATTATTATTTTAATTCCTTTTGGGGTAAAAGTATGACCCACTTTTCACCCAAATAATTTAAATGTCAAACCCAATCTATCCACATTCCTAATGGGAACCCGCTTCCTAAACACTGCACACTTTAAAAGCGCATAGAGAAACAAAAGTATTTCTGCATTGACAGTAGGACAAGAACTTCTAGTTTAGTTGCAGAATCAGTATCTGCTGAAACAGGCTTTTTTTTTTTTTTTGCCCTGTGAATTGACTCTGACATCATTGTGGTATCACACATATATATATATACAGAAGCATTATAGTTAGAATGAGATCGTGGCTGAATTGCTGACAGAACTTGTAAGTGCCTCACATGACGGTGTGCTCTGTTGTTATATATATAGAGGAACTGCAGCTTATAGCTTTATTGAAATTTGTAGGGTATGAATAAGAAAAAAGGAAATGAAAACACGCTGAAGGTTTAGAAGAAAAGGGGAAATAGCAAAAGCTGATCTATTTTTTAGAAAGTGCATTTTAATATCACAAATTATTGGAATGTGCTATAGATTGAATCATAGGCAACAACGAAGTTGATTTATTCTTTCAATGTATTTTATTGCTTTTCCATGGATATTATTCATTGAATCTGAATGTCTGTGGCCCATACTTAGATCAAACCCTTACCTTCCTCTTTTTCCTCCTACAGCATTCAGCATACCCTCAAAAACAGCTTAGGCACCAAATTATGCTTTGCTTACTAACTAATTTTTTTTTCCCATCTGACACCAAGCAATATTACAGAGATTCTAGAGATTTCTAATGATCCGTATGTTACTTTTGTTGATGCAGTTTTTAAAAAACCTTGTATGCTATTAATTATTGTAGCATTACCCAGTAGATTACAGGCAGAGATTATTATTAATTTTGACTATTTCTAAAAGAGACACAATCTGCATAAACTTTCAAATGCTGATGAATGTAAATGTTCATCAAGGAGCATTGCTGTGATTAACTTATATCTTCACTATCAGAAATAAATATGCAAAATTAGTACCTTTAGGGGTACAACAGCCCTTGTCACTGGGGCAGTACTTTATATTACCCCTAAAATATGCATATTAGTACCTTAGAGTAGTAATATGTACCCTTAAGGTGTTGCTAGACACTTTTAGGCACAAATAAGGTACAACGCTGTCCCTTGAAGGGTTTTAGCCCGCAGTGACAGGGTGTTGTATTCCTAAAGGTACAATTTTTGCACGTTTTTTTCTGATTATAATAAGATGTAAACCTGTGCTGACCAATCGCATAGAATCATTTCCAGCTGAAATGAACTCTTTGCATTGCACTCTTAAATGGAGAATACAGATATTAATACTAATACTATAATACTTATACCTATTCTGTGAAATGCAGAAGTGACCAGTAAGTTTTTATTTTTGTTGTGTTGATTTGTTTACATGATTGTGCAGTTGTACTGTGCATTTACTTGTTTAATTTTTGTTTAAAATGTTTATATATATCATGTAGTTGCACTACATTTTAACGTGGTAAATCCTATCCTTGTCATTGTTGACTTTGTTGTTGATCATTTTCGTATGTTCCTTTGTGACTAAAAAGTTTGAACAATTCCTGAGTATTTGTATGTGTTAGGAGTTCTGACCGTTTACAAAATTATGACAACAGACGAAACGTAATAAAAAAGTGAGGTGAAACTCATTTGTAGGGTTTCCAAGCTATAGCAGTGATTCAGTGAGTACAATGTTAAGGTTAATCAAATGCTGATGCTCTTTTTGGCTAAATTCATTTATTAATTTTATGCAAAGCGACTTGCAGTGCATACATTCAAGGTATTCATTTTATCAGTTCATGCACTTGATTTTGAGCTACAGCAATAAAACTGAATGAGAATGCCCTTCAAAAAATAATGCTAGCACAATCTGTTTTGTGATGGTTGTCACGTAATGTTAGATTAACATTATTTATAACATGTATGGACTTTTTTTGCTGTGACTCCTTTTAGATCTGACTGTATTGGGTGTACTTTCTTTTCAGAGGACTATGTTCTTAACATTTTTAAAAGGTTATATGTTAAAAACGCCAAAGAAATTATATAAATAAAGCAATTTTAAATTTGTATTTATTAGCATGCACTTTAAGCAAAAGGAAATGTGTGCAAGTGATTATCTTTGTAGGCAGATAGAAGTTGAGTACAGTATACTTATACTTAAAATGCAACCTTGTAGTGCTAAATGAGCTTGACTTTGCAATAAATTACATACCTAATTTATTGACAAAATTTCACATCCTTGCAAAAATGTTTTAAATACATATCACTGGTAGCACAAATGTCAAAGAAAGAATTGCTAGTATTTTCCCAATCCCATTACACAAACATCTGATAATCTGTTTTAAATTTTAGCTAACAGAATCCATATTTATTAGTTACATAAACATGGACTTGGCTTTATGTTTCCTGAAAATTAAGATTTACTCAGAATCACCACATGATTAGTCACTCAGTACATGGTTAGTACATTTTATGAAATAATGACTAATTAAGGGTATAGTTTACCCAAGACACTTTAGTCATCGTTTACAGAACCTCATCTCATGTTGTTTCAAATTCCATGCAGCACAGTTTTGAAGGAAATCTTAGCAAGTGTTTTCATGTCTGATTTATTTGTTGAGTCTTTTGACTCGGATCTTTTCAATCATTCTGAATGATTCATTCAGGTATCTGATTGATCCAGTTCATCGGTTTTTTCTTGTACTCCACAGAAGAAAGCCAAACAGGTTTGGACGGACATGAGGGTGAGTAAATGATGACAGAATGTTCATATCAGGTTGAACTATACATTTACATAAATTCACAGCAGCAGCTTACAACAAAATATAACTAGGCCTTGTTTATACCTGGTATTAAGATGCGTTTTGGTCGATCGGATCATCACAAGTAGACGAGGCAGACACATACCCGTTTACGCCCGTGTTTTAATCTGTCTCTTTTGTCCATTTTCAATCACTTCTGTCTAGATTTCTTCAAGGGGAGGGTCTATGGGCGGGTAAATAGAGTAGGAGGTCTCTGCGGAACAAAAGTGGGTGTTTCTAAATTTGTGGGTGTTTTCACACTGGTGGGTGTTTATAAATCATGCAATGAAAATGATGCCCTTCTCCCGACCCCACCCCTAAGACCTACCCACACTGTGACGTGGGCAAATCAGGTAACGCGGTTGAAAACGCCCCTCTGTTTATGGCCTCGCCCCCTGATCTGGTAACTCCTATTACCGTCTGCAGAGACCTCTATTTGGGTAAATAGGTTTTTCAGATCTTTCGATCTAATGGACACGGAGACGACGGAAAACCACACGGATAGCATGATGCTTGATGATTTTGTTTTTGCTCTGAATAGCCGTAAGACCACACCGAACGCTGTGCGTATTAGAAAAATTGTGCTTGGTGAGTTTTTCTTCTTCAAACCAAACTTGAGTCTTGGCTCGACAAAGTGTAAATCCCATCTGGCTACAGCGCGCATTAAATCAGTAGGCGGAGAGTTGATGGTCTTTTGTGGCTGTTCAAACACATTCAACCACATTTTATTTAGCATCCTCCACTTGTGATCCGATCCACCAAAACGCATATTAAAGGTGCAGTGTGTGATTATTAGCGGCATCTAGTGGTGAGGTTGCGAATTGCAACCAACAAAAGTTACGGTATCTGACAGGAAAATATGTCATCGTCTGAGACAGCAGAGAGTAGCCAGTTAAGCAATGAGGTTTCTTTACAAAGATACATTAAGAAATTATGTTTACTTTATTATTCAGTAAAACGATGTTATTCCGAAATTGATTGTTACTTGTTCTGTGTCATATTCGCTGACTTTAGCTAACTACTTTGCACGAAGAACAACGTAGTGACAAAATGCGTTTGTCCGTTTAGGGCTACTGTAGAAACATGTCGGCGCAAAATGGCTATTTCAATGTAAGGGGACCCACGGTGTATATAGATAGAAATGGCTCAATCTAAGGTAATAAAAACATAACGGTTCATTATGTGAGGTCTTTATACACCACTGAAAACATAGTTATGTATATTATATTGCATTTCTGTCTACAGATCCTCCTAAATATTACACAATACACCTTTAATACCAGGTGTAAGCAGGGCCTTAGATCAGAGATGCAAATTGACTTAAAATACGTCTCCTTTTTTCTTATTTACAGAAATATTACCTTACTGTATGTCACCTGATTAATAATGTGGCCCTCTGTTTTTGTTACTACCACACACTCTCAGAAAAAGGTACAAAATCACTGGGGGAGTACCCTTATAGGCTTTAAGGGCTAAATGGTGTACCTTTGGAAAGGGTACCGCAACCTGACAGATTTGTACCATTTCTTCTGAGAGTGCAATGTCTGCAGGACTTAACAGTTTATTTTATTTGTTGAGCCCCATCATTCAGGTCCAAAATTCGAAGCGTGGCTACTACAACTTCATCACCTTAACAGTGGTAATAGTTGTGTTTTCCTGATCATTCGGGCAATCCGAGTCCTCTTCCTCTCCCTCTCCATCCTCTTCATCAAGTTGGAGGCTTCCAGAAGAGAAGCGCATGCGTGCCAGTGGTCCAGAACGTACCACTTTACCCAATGCAGGAAAGTATGGGTAGAAGGTGTCTGAATCCGAATCACTATAACTACTTGTGCCGAGTACACATAAAGAAGTGGGTCTTTCCGGGAGAGGGGCAGGACTTAGAGGAAGGTAGGTGGGCCTGGCAGGAACGTGGTGTCGAGAAAGATGTGGATAATATCCCAGTGGGCGATACTCGGATGCGTATGCAGCGGCGTTTGAGGCAAGTGTAGGTCGCTGGAATTTGAAGTCTGGTTGGCTTGAGGCTCGGCGCGGCAAGCCGGTCTGAAAGGAGGAGTCGTCGCTGTAATGGCCTGCTTCCACTCTATTCAAGTCCAGCTTCCTATTCAACCCAGC